ACAGTTGGTCATCAGCCATGAAACGGTTTATGAAAAGTTCGGTTTTGATGTTAAAAATTTACTTTGTGAAATCCAGTTAAAGTTCGGTGGCCGACCCACCAATCCCATCAATGCTTTCCAGTTGTAAGTTGTAACCCCCTCAAATTTAAAATCTTGTGTAATATAATGCATATCAAGAAATATTATGTACTAATATACTGTTGAATTTTTTTTAATTGGGATAAAAATATTTAGAAATAGTTACCTATATAGAAATTAATAATTAGAACCCATATACAAGGATTTAAGGGATCATGAATAGTATTAATTGGATCCATCATTTAACTCCTGTTTGAGCACTATTCTTTAACAATTTATTTTTCTTCAAACTTATTTTCAATCACAAATTTTCTCGATAAAATTATTTTACATGTAAATTCAATTTTTTTTTCTACTTTTTAAATTTTAACCATATATACTGGAAAAAAAAAAACACTATTTCAAATAATATGGCTCAAACAAGCCCTTAACAATACATAATATGTGCCACTTAAAAGGGTATTTTATTATCAATGATGCTAAATAGTAAATAACATTGTTCTTAGTTATAAGTTAACAGGTTTTATGTGAACATTAGTTTTACATCAAGCTTAAGAGCTGAACTGTGGGCTATATTTCGAGGCTTATCACTAATCAGTGGTAAAGGTTGGGCAATTGTCGTGCGCGAGATAAATTCAACTAAAGCCATTTATACTTATTAAAAGATTATGAAATCTTGATAGAACTTTAATAGACGATTGTCGTTTATTGATCCGAGGCTCAACTTTGAGAATTTTTATGTTGTTGCCCAATTCATTTTTCTGTACTCAAATAAACCTAAGATTTCTGAGCACCTGAGAAATCAATTTGTAAAAGAAACACTCAATTACTCAATTCCAAAATAGTACGTGTCCATCTCGTCGTGTTTAAGAGAATGGAATAGCAGACAGGCTATATCATTCTGAGATGAACAAATTTATCTCATTCTATACGAAGATATTAAAAACATGATTCACACTTAACTGGTAATTTCCAGTGCAAAAGATGAGTTGATATTCTGAATTGCACTCCCTTTTCAACTTCCTGCAGAACAATACAACTTTTTCCAACAGCAGGATTTACAAGTGCAGGGCAACAGATTATAATGCTATACAGCGAATATAAGTAATCTTAGGTAAAGTCATCATCATTTTTGTTATATAAACGATCATCTAGAACATCTTTTTCATCGCCATCAGCAGCATCATGGCTATAACAGTTATAGCTATATGCCTATATTATTTATCTTACATTCAGAAAAGGCGAATATCTTGATGCTAATCATGAAACATTTCTATCTTAAACATCGCAGTTTTTTCACTATTCTAACGGTTCCTGGATATCTTCTCTTTCCAGGTCAGGAAGTGCTCAAAAAACAGCCTTCATGTGAGAGTCAGTCCTGCACAACATGACTACAATCTAAAAAACCTTTTTTTTTCCTACCATTTAGTTTCACAATATTAGAGCTGTCACTGGGTGTGTGCTCAGCTTCAAATGTTTCAACCAGCTATTTATTACCTTCCTGCTGATAACAACATGAAGGTAACTACTAGCTGGCACTCGTCTGCATCATTGGAAAGGACCAGATCTTAGTTGGTCCACCCTCCTCCCCAAGAACCTTCTCATTGGCCCACCAGTTGGAACCAACATTATTGGGCATGTCAGAATTTTCTCCATCTATATTGTCAAAGTTGAATTCTTTGGAAGATCCAAGGGTGATAGTGCATTTCTTTTGGTGCTTCCTTTCATCCTCAACCTGTGTAGGATCTTTATCAGATATGATGTTAGAAGTTACTCCAGCAGGGTTCTCATGTACATTTGTCCTGTCTCCTGGGTTTTTCAGGTTTTTCTCTCCAGTACGTTCAATGTTTTCAACAGACTCTCGCACAAATTCTGGGAAGGCTGCTGGTTTCTTTTCCACGCATCTTACAACTTCCTCTGCAGTTATCTCAAAAGAAACTCTATGATTAACCACGATCTCATCATTTTGCAATTCATTACGTTCATCTGGAAGTGGAGTAACATCTTGACGACTTAGAAGGAAACTATCACGGGAGTTTGGCCTGGCAACATCTGGAATCAATGCACCAGATCCATGGAATGAATCCCATTTACGAAGCACAATCTTTTCAAAGTTTAAGAACTTGGTATGGTTTCCAGTTTTGAACTCGACAAAAAGGGGGTGTCCAGGAGCACACTCAAGGTCAGGAAAAGGTGACGAAGTGCCTGAACCGGATATTCCTGAGCTAGGTGAGATCAAATGGCTAACTGGACTTCCAGGATGAAGCTGATAAGACTGAAATTCATATTGAGATAGAGGGTATCTCTGACCGACTTCACCACTTTGGAAGCTGGGTTCAAGTAGCCGTGCGAATGGAACCTCAGGAGAGGAAGGTGTAGTTAAGTGAACTGATTCTGGGGGAGGAGTATAGGGTGCAGTTGACGGTTCAGTGGTGAAAGATGAGAATACAGGCGGAGATACTAATTGGGTCTCATGAGCATAAGGACCGATGGCAAAAATTGAGGGACGGTCCCCAGGAGAATACATATTTGCAGATATTGAGGTGAGCGATAAGAGGCCAGTTGGTGACTGGGTTGCTGAAGGAGGTTCTGACAGAAGGAAAGATGCAGGAGAGGAAGGTGGTGCAACAAAAGGAATTAATATCGAAAGTGGTTGGGATGGATTTTCAGCTGTTGGAGCATCTGCTCCTATGGTTGGGTTTTCCGGAAAAAGAACAGCATGTGCAATTTGTTGCTTGTTTTTGTGAGATCCAAAACACCAAAAAAGGCTCCAGTAGCTTCTCCATCTTCTTTTCTGCATGTGAAATAAGAAATAACAGGCATATAAATGTTGTAAATGGACACAGAAAGATATCTTTTGGGTATAAGAAAGTGTAAACAGAAGAATGGGTACTAAAAGTATACGAGCATCATAAACATAGAATAGAAATTAAGCTAACAAAGGGAATTGAACTCCTTAAGGTTCATAGAACACAAGAAGAAACATTCCTTCGAAGTTCATAGAAGAACACAAGAAGTAACCTGCCAAGAGAAATTATTTGACACACAGGTTTAGAAAATTCTTAAACCAAATCTCTGCAGGTCCCTTTGTCAGCTCTACAGAAGCAGGTCAAGTATACGTGTTTTTAAATTAACAAGTCTATTAGAAAGTACATAATTCAAGATTATAAGACATCGTCCCATGAAATTGCTCCTCAGGTTACATTGAGCAGCAGAGGTTTGATATATTTACCTAGGGAAAAAAAACTGATGCCAACATGTCAATCGGAATCTGGGTATAAACTTGCTAATCACAAATCACTTTCTGCAATCCCATCAGTTTATTAATGCAAGTAGCTGAAAAAAATCCAGGCAAACAATAAAGACAATTCTGTTTAACTGTGCCACTTCTGACGCCGGTCAGCTGGCTATATCTTAGGATGAAAGATTCATGAAAAACTGAAATAGATTTCATAATCCTCATATGGATGACATAAACACTACCGAATATCAATCTGAGACCGCTTGTCAATAAGAGTAGACGTCAAAGCTTAGGACAGGGCAGGATGACATGTCGAATTATTTCTCAATTCAAATCTGATAATGGTGGTGACATCTTCAGATAATGACTCTTCGTCGCATTCTCATGTGGCTGAAGACGATAGTATTTTGCAGTCTCCGACATATTATCAAAATCGGAAAATACATATCATAAACCAGGAAGCACAGAAATCTGAGCAGAAGTTAACTTCACAAAAGTTAGAATGGTGATGCCATAAAGTTATGCTTTTTCATTCTTCCATCAATATATTGCTACTATGGACATAGTACCTAATACTGATGGAAATATTGATTGTGCCGGAGTGTATTAATAAGGGAAACACACAAACTAAATAGATGTCTTGGAATACATCTCTTGGAGATTCAACCGGTTTAAAAGACATATACTTTAGGGAAAGAGGACCTGCACATTCTAATTCTGGTTAAAAAGCTAGTGTCAGTGCTGGTTAGTGGAGCTCAACAACTCATTAACTCATATAAGGGCCATTTATCCACCAAAACCCCCTTGGGTTCCTACTGAGTTTGAGCGGGGTCTTCCAACTCCAGGAAAGTTTTCGGGGTAATTGAATACGAAGATGAACCACTCATCACCTCCATCATATATAAAACTATATGAATCAATACACAAATTTCAAAAAAGAAAAAAATGACATCAACTCTAGCAGGGCACTAAGCTCCTTTAACACCAGCTCAAGTAACGGTAATTAGTTTCAAGGGTCTTTAATAATGCTGTCATGCTGATTAAACAAATAAATGAAGTCTGCAATGTTAACTGCAAAAGGTACCACCGTAAAGGGCAACACGACAAACTAATGACAACATTACAGTAAGATGACAAGCAACGTAACTAACAACCGCTATCTTTTCCTTTTTAGAACAATGAATAACTTTCCGGTTCAAAAAAATTAAATTTCCTTTGTACACTCCTTTTTGTAGATTGAATAACTTTCTGAATTAAAAACTCAATATGTAGGAACTTTCCGGGACAATCACATGGAACATTTAAAATCCAAAAAAAAACCTTCGATAAAAAATCAAAAATGAAATTATATAAGGCAGTTCTGAAAGTACTCCAAATTGTTGCTCTTAATCAGTCCTACAGATGCCTTTGATCTCACAAGACCCATTGACTTTCTCTGATACACCGAAGTCATTAAATCCATGGAAGGATTTAACCCCAACTGAACAACTTTTTCATCAAATGTTTATGCTAAAAGAACGTATTAAATTCTAATCACCACATAAAAAAACTAAATTCAATCCGGAAAAATCAAATCATACAAACACCAGATTTCAAATCTCAGAAAGCCAACATAAACAGACATTTGACGCTCAAACTAAGTTCCGCAGTAAAACGAACAAAATTCGAGAAAAATCAAATGAAAAACAAAATCTTTACAGCTTAATCAAACACTTCAAACTGAATTATCCCAATTCAGCAATAAATCTATGAAAATAAACAGAAATTTCAAAAGAAAACTCTTACCTGAACCGAAACTTGAGGAACCCGATTCTGATTCTCAGCAGATGCGAACACACTCGCGGCAGCGTTTAGAGTCTCCAGAGCATCGTTTCCATTCACTCCTCTACTCATCGTAATTCCGATCAATCAAAAAATTCTCTCAAAATTTTCGATCCAAAAGCCTTAAGTTTCATCTCAAATTTATCCACCAAATCAAATGAATACTTAAAAAATAAAAATCAATTATAAATATCTGTGAGACAGTGACAGCAATTCAGAGGAAACGGAAGAATTTGCGTCCGTTTTTTCCTTGTGTAGATACAAAAATGTGTACGTATAGGCTGTTACTATTGATTTGGGAGGTCAAACACGGCAATGGCCAATGACTAACAAGTGATTTGTCTGTCGCGGGATGATTAATACGGGACTAAGGTTAATATGATTAGGGGTTAATTACTTAATTATAATTTGTTCTATTAATTATTCTTTATTGAGTGTGAAATTACCAAAATAGGCTTTTGGGGAAATGCCAAGTACATTTAGGGTGCTTTTAATTGCAACGGTGAAAAATGATCGAAAAGAAAATGATTTTCAGAGAAAATAATTGTCTAGAAAATATTCGTAGAGAATTGTTAATTAAGTGTGTTTGATTGAAATAATTTTCCACCCTGAAAATTTTTAAATTTTATATCCGTTTGACTTGTTTTATATGAAAAGTGTCTATTAAAGTGATAATTTTTTCTACAATTGGTTATAAAATTTGTTTCAATTGCCAAAAAGTAAAAAAAATGAAAAAAAATTGTTTCCTAAAAAATCATTTTTTTAATCAAAGTTTAATGTTCGCTTGACTTTATTTTACATGAAAATTGTCCATTACAGTGAAAATTTTTTTTACCATTGGGTATGACATTTGTTTCCATTGCAATAAAAAAAAAAAAAAAAAAAATTGCAGTCATCAATTACCCGAAAAATGCACGCGTGTGGGGGTAAGGTGGAAAATATTTTTCGTGAAAAATTTTGCCTATCAAATAGTCAAAAAAGTGGAAAGTGAAAAATATTTTCATAGTTTCTTAGAAAATCTGACCAATCAAACACGGCCTTAATGTGAAAGGGATTCACCCAATAAGAGTTTGCCAAAAAGTGGTTAACTGGAATTTATTGCCATTGATTTTTAATTCAATTTGAGTTGAATTTTGGTAGGAAACAATTAAGCCACACAACCATTAAAATAAATTTTTTATTTTATTTTCAATCATACATTCTCACGATTATCGTGAAATTTTACACATTATTTTTATTCATATTTTTTAAAATTCTATTTAGAGAAATATTATAGTCATGTTATTTTATAATTTAAACATAGTTTAGTAGTTTTCGAAGCTAGCACATAATTTTGTTGGTCGTGATTATCATCAATTTACAAAATAGTCGTCGAACGAATTAAAACTCATTTTTACTAATCTAAAGCTTTCAAGGGCATTTTAGTATATTGGAGAAAAGTGAGAAACAAATAAAATGATTAATTAATAAAGTTAAAAGCCTTTTTTAATTAAATGACGGTACGAACTTTTTACTTTATAGTAGAAGTAGTAATTACTAATCATAAAAACTTTTGTGTGCACGTGTGCCCATTCGCTTCTCCTTGGCGACGGCAGTTTGTGTGGGGCTCACCCCGAAAATTCTCCGCCACCTAAACTTATCAGCACCGCGGCCACCGCCTCTTCTTCTCTCTAAATCGGCGGCCGAAATTATTCATTCCCTCCTAACGAGAGACAGTAAAAATAGCTTGTATTATAAAACTTGATATTTCATTTTTTGAGCCTCCATTTGGCAAAATTAATGATCAAACTTTATTTTTTACGTATACTTGTCCATTCCATCGATTCATAAATATTATTCAGTTATCCATCATTAATTTTTATTTATTTATAAGTTATATCATATATAAATTCTTCCCAAACGAAAGCTAGGTAATTACCGAAGACACAATTTAATTGTATTTATAATTATGAATTTCTAAGCATCAGATAGTATTTTCTAGACAATCAAAGCTAAGATTTCTCTTACATTGTCCTTTCAATTGAGTTTCGGAAATAAAAATTATTTACCTGACACGGAATTTGCTACTTTAAGACTATAATAGTTACGGTCACAATTTATCTGGACTTTCATCGTCAACTCTCCTATAATCGGATCATCAACTTTTTTGACCCTTGAATGTTGAATGGGCTTCAACCATATAGGTAAAATTTCTTAAATAATCTGTTTTTTTTTCTCATAGTCAAAATGTAGAAATATTGATAGAGAGAGTTGAAAGTTCAAACTTTTGTAGCATTTTCTTGGATATTAATGAAACGATATGTAACTTTGACTGCCGCTTATGACTTTCTAGCCCACAAAATGTGCAATGTGTAAAAACCCAGTGAGGGAGAGAGAGGTCCACCTGGTTCATTTTGCCTAACTATAGGGGTCACCTAACTTTTACCTATTTACTTCTTTATGCCAAACTTGCTAATTAGGGCCACAAAATTTTGTGATGATCTTTTTAATGAATGCACTACATGAACAGATCATGTTCAAACAAAGGGGCGATGTGGCGCCCCGCCTATAGGGGGCGATGTTGTTTGAACTGGGGCCTACGTGGCCTTGTTTAAACAGCTTTATCCCTTTTAAAAAGTTCTATTGTTACAAAAAAAATATATGTATTTCGACCAAAACGATGACTTATTGACCTTTTTTGGGACTCCAAAAGTTGATATCAAAAGCATCATTTTCTAATTCGAGGATTAAATGAATAAGAGTGCTGGTTTGGAATGTGAGCCAACCGGTTATGGGGTTATTTTTACCGATTTGAAGTTTCTAGTTTATTATGTATAATCAATTGAATTTAAAATTGATTTTCAATTTTTTTGATTGAATCGATCGATCCAGTCCAATTTTTATAATATCGATTTTCATACATTTTTTGTATGGAGTAGAGGTACTATTGTATACCTCAATGCAGCAATATATAGATCTCGTGTGTAATATGATCGACTCAATAGGGATTTTGGTGCCTACTGATTTGCTTAGACCATTGTTTACTTGTCAAATGATGGCCATCCAGCTATGAATGGTTGGTTGATCTATGACCGAGGTAGCAAAATAGAGGAATCAATAGCGAATTTGACTAGACCAACCAAGTGAATTAGAGACCACTAGAGTGATTTATACATTCAGCCTAATCAAGGGAAATTTGCAATAGAGGTTTTCAAGTCTTTCAACAATGTGCAACGCAGTCCCAAAACTTTTAAATCATATTAGCTATATCGCAAGCCTTTTAATGAATGTGCGATAGAATAACTTGTGACGGCTTCCATCCAAAAATCTATCAATCGACCAATGTCAAATGTCTTACCTTAATTTGATCAATTTTAAAA